GATTTCGTTAGCGATCAACCCGTTGGCTCTGGCTGATGCAACTTCCCAAATAAGCGAAGCGGTCAACGTGATCTACTACTTCACTCCCTATTTCTAAACTAGGAGTCAGTGTAGTCCAGTCCTGTAACATCATCTTACATTTGCGAGAGCGAATCGCATGCCAAACATTTGTAGATTGCAGCTCAAGGTGTTCAGAAGACTCTGCATTTTGTCAGCGTCTTCGCCTAGAAGGAGTATATCGTCTGCATATTCTAAGTCAGCGAGATTATTCCCTGGTAGCAAGTCAATCCCTGAGTCCCTGAAGTGAGTTAAGGCTAAGTTCATTAGTACATCTACGATGAAATTGAATAGGAATGGGGATAATGGGCATCCCTGACGGACACTACTTCAGATGACAACTCTCCGTAAGCCCTCACTTGGCTGCATGAATTCGAGTAGAGTGTCTTGATCAGTGCAATGTATTTTCTCGGCATTCCCTTTACAGCCAAGCATCGCCAGAGTACCTCTCGGTCGACAGAATCAAATGCCGCCTTTAGGTCAAGAAATATAACGATTGTTGGACGCCGGTAGGAATGCCTATGTTCTAGAATCTGTCGAAGGGTGAAGATAGGATCACTACATCCTCTTCCTGGTCTAAAGCCTGCCTGGTTCTCTCGTGTTTGTGCCTCCCAAGCACCACTTAGTCTACGCAATATTATTGCGCCTAGGACTTTAGATACTATGTTAGTCAAGCTGATACCTTTGTGATTATCATAGGGGTACTTGTCTCCCTTCTTGTATATGGGGACAATCAATGACTTACACCAACCCAATGGGACTTCCTCTGATTCGCAGACCCTGCCTAGTACCTTAGTTAATGCAGACAGTAAATTGTCTCCACGGTACTTAAATACTTCTGGAGTCATTCCATCAGGTCCTGCTGCATTACCTTGTTTCAGACTAGTGACAGCCCTAGTAACCTCAGTTAGGGACGGAGGACCTGTATCTATATCCCATTAAGGGAGGTGTTGAATGTTCGGCAGGTTGAGAATGGCTGTAGGCCAATTAAACTGCACCTCATAGTGTCCTTTTCAGCGTTCTAGTCGTCTATTCTCAGAGCTAATTATGGTGCCATTTTCCTCAGAGATTGTTTCATTTATGGTTTGTCTTTTACCACCTGTTTCCCTGATAAGTCTAAATAGTTGTCTGGTGTAACCAATCGTCGATGCCTTTTCCATTGCTTTTGTTACAGGCCACTGTTCACGGTTGTTACGAAGGCTTCTTGTTAGTTTGCGTGTGGGAAGCTTTCGCTCCTCATCATATTCGGAGTTTTCCGGAATCAGTCTTCTTGCGTCAATCAGTTCGGAAGAGGCGGTAGAGACCCAATGGCTCTTACAAACTTTTGCTTTTAGCTTATTAACAGCTTTTACAGCTGTGTCTACAGCTAACTGTATGTTGTGCCAGGCTACCTCAGGGGAAGTCCTGTTGTCGACCTCAGACACTCGTTTCACTATTTCTTCCTTAAATAGAGACTCAGTGTCTCGATCTAGTTGGGGACGTAACTGTTTCGATGCCGTCAATTTCTTATGTCCGTTTAGTTGTAAGCATAAACAAGCGCGATCCAGAGCGTGATCGGAGTCTACGCACGTGTTCCAGAAGGAGCGACAGTCTTCTACTGACCCTTGCCAACGATAACCTATGGCTATGTGGTCTATCTGAGTCCAGAATTGATTTGGTGATGGAGGTCGCCAGGTTACATAATGTCTCTCTTCGTGCCTAAAGTTAATGCTGACTAGGAACAGATGATTATCTGAGCAAAACTGTAGAAGATGATCACCGTTGTCGATTCGTCGGCAGGGAACTCCATACGTACCACCTATATACTTCTCAGTCTGGCACAACTTCCCTACTTGGGCATTGAAGTCGCCTGCTAAAACAACTATATCTGAACGTTTTACTTTTTGCAGAAAATTAGACAGTTTCTGGTAGAAGTCATCTTTTAGTTCATCCAAACTACAGTCTGTTTGGGCGTAAGCGGAGACTACGAAAAGGCAACGACGGGTAGCGCCGTCTTTCCTTCTTTTAACGGACCTATTCAGACTGACCGTACACATACGACTATCAACTGTGATCCAGTCGAGAAGTGATTTTCCTGCCCTAACACTCAATTCTATCCCTACACCAGGAAGTCCTCGCGAACTAGCTGAGGGGTCTCCTGACAGCCCGAGGGTGAATTTTGCAGATTCACTTTGTTGGCCGAGTGAGCTTAAGTGAATGATCTTACTTGGGTCTTGTATGCGTGTCTCCGAAACACAACATACATCCATGGCTCGAGATGCCAGAGTTCTGGCTAGTGATGCCTGTTGTCCGATTCGGCAGAGGGTCCTGAAGTTAAAAGCTCTTATTTGAAGTTGGCGACGTGGCTCTAAGAGGCTATCGGGGTTGTTTCTATGGTTCTCACCGTTGTTTGTGGTCACAGAGTGAAGTGAAGATGACTCATTAGCCTGCAAAATAGTACTAACTGTAGTAGAGAAGCAAGATGAGGAAGGTGATGTGAGTAAAGGAGAATGATGCTCAGGAAGGTTTCGTGTGCTTTTGGAAGTGTGTGGGCAGTTGTTATTTCCCGGCTGCCCACACCGTGGAAGTTGATTGACTCTTCGGGTACCTGAAACAGAAAGAGGGTTAGTGTTGCGTGACCGCAGAGCCCAGGGAACAACTGCTTGAGGCCGGTCACACACGGCCTGTATGAACTGGTTTCTTGCATTGTTTCCGTATTAGTAAACTTACCGCCGGTTACGGACCACCGTAGGGTAAGTCGGGGTGTACAATTTTTGGGGTCGACCTTTTCTAACCCCCTCCCTGCGGAGTGGAGAGACAGCATAGCTGGCATGCTGGTCATCTGAAGGAAACACCTTACTGTTGTTACACACTTGTTCCTCAGCAGTACGACTTCGCCCACAGACCCCCAGCATAGTGTAGGAAAGTTTCTTACACAATGCCGGTAACTGCTTTTAGTCTAATCGCTATCCTAGCCACCTTCCTGACATGGTAGGACCTGAAGGAACATTGGTTGGTTGGTTGGTTCATTGCAATGTACAAGTCCGACCACCACGTCAAGGTAGCAGGTATCGGTCGGGGAAGAGGCACTTAGCTCACTGAGGCTCTTTTGTACCGAACAGGGCGGAAACTGTGATAATTAAGATACTGTTCTGTCCATGTAGGTTTTCTAAAAATAGATCGTTTTATTGGTCCATTCGGCTGAGCAATAAATCTAGGAAAGGTAAACAATTATCTTCCTCTTCTACAGACGTAAGTGATATGCTATTCTGAACTTCATTCATTCGATTTAAAATTGAGGTGGCAGGACAAGGCTTAACACTTATTACAATGTCATCGACATATCTTCTATAAAGTGGTGCATTTTAGTGATCGTGATTGTTATTTTGACATTCAATATGTCCACAATGCTCAAACTTTTTACTGATATTAATTGACCTAAGTCTATTATCTCACCTCTGAACTCTTTATTAATTTCATATATATTCCTATGACAAAGCAATGTGTGATCAGATTTTTCAAAATGTGGTGCACAGATACATTACACAATTCAGACAAATTACACCTTATTGCTTTGTCTAAATTCATAAAGGGAACTAAGTGTTTTAAAAATCCAGAGTACACCGTGATGACGAGCCCCCTAACATGGTAGCTTTATTGTAAACTTGACTGACAGAATTCAGTCTGCATCAAACAAAGGACTTGATACATGATACTAGTTAGTATCTAGTTTCCAGTCAGAACAGCAATCAAGAAAATAAGCGTAGATCCATGATGCTATATACTAGTACTAAACTCACACTAACCACTAGTGTTTACCAGCTAGATAGAAGCAAGCACTGTTTGGTGATGTGAGTGATATCCAACTACTCATATCAACTAATCCGTGGTGCACAGCATTGTGAATACTTCAGTCGAACACAGAATGTTTTCGTGACCCTTTTCACATGATAAACCTTAAGCCAAGTCTAAGGCAACTAATACATGGCAAAACTAAATGTTTGGTTTTCTTGTCCTTACATTGTTTTTCTTCTAAAATGATGCAGAGACTTGACTTCTAATATGAAATTACAACTTATACTGTTTGAATGTCGGGAGTATGAGGAAACATTTCAAAAGACATTCGTCAAACTAGTGCTCACATTAAAATATGTATTACATAAACTACAGAACAAGTAAATATACTACCAAATTACTGAAAATAAAATAGGTATAGTGGTCTAACTACGCACAATTAAATGACCAATGTATACAAAGATATACAAAAAATTACTTTAAAATCAATCATATAATTGTTTCATGAACCAACTACTGCACTTCCGACAAAGGCGGTAAATTCACCTCATTTGAAAAACCTTAAGAAATGATGATCGTACTAACACGCTTCACTTATGAAATAGCCAAGGCAACTTTTGGCTTGTATACGAATAGTCAAAGAATAGATGTACCTCCACCTATTTTAAAACACTCACAGTTGAATAATTCCTCTTAAGCAAAGGAAGATGTTTACGCAGCATTATATGAATGCAGTAGGCTTATTGCCTTGTACAAATAAAAAACATTTCTGTGTATTTATGTGCGTGCATCCAGTCTGTCTAACATAAGGTGAGAATAAAAATTAGTTCGGAGTAGCGTTTACATCATCAAGATATTTCAAGTTTTTCTAAACGTTTACCATATTACGCAATCTTAGTCCAAACTTACTAATCTTGACCCTACCAATAGATACAATTTGATTATTCATCACTACTTGGAAATAATTTGATATAAACAACACTCCAAACTAATTTTTATTCTTGTGCCATGTTTGACAGACTGAATGTATACACATACACAAAAATAATTATATAAAATTGAGTATATACAGCTAGGTGAATGAATGAATCTGTCGAGAAGTCTCTTAGCGATTCGGATGAAAAACCCTGATTTATTTACGCAGAAGAAATATCTTAACAAAAAGTTACCATTGCGAAATCGAAGAAAATTGCACTCATTGGCTTGTGCAATCATAACATCACTGAAAACAGTTAGTAACTCTTGAGTCATATTCTTATTCGACTGTTCCACATGTAGAGCAAGATACTCGAATGCTTCAGCAGCAATCTGAAAAAAAAGGATTACAATTATTCAGATGTGCGTGAAAAAAGTTACAAAATACTTATGGATAAAAGCATTCAATTTTAATTGGTCTCAAAGAGAAATCAATATCCATAATATTGTACCAGTTTGGGTGTTCATACCTCCCGACAGCACTATAAAAATGTAGAAGTTACCAAATGGCGAAAAACGTTAAACAAGTGCTTATCGAGCGTTTAAATATTTGGCTGGTTATTTTAAGTACAAAAAGCAAATGAATTTGAGCGGCTTCAGTTTCAACATCTCCTGCAGTTTCCAAATCATTTCGAACAGGGTGTCAAATCTGGGTGGGAAATAGGAATTTTCTAGATATTAAACGATACCGTATTTTGTCCATTAAGCACTGAGATTTAATCTTCCTGAGCGTTAATGTTTTCTAGCCTGCTGACCCAATAGATGTCGAATGAGTAGCGACACTAAGATGTTGGCAGCAAATGTATTAATCTCGGGTTACTTGAAGAAGGCAAATCAGATAACAAGATTATTAACCTTTATCAATCAAAGCGGTTGACTTATACTCTATGAATACACAACAACTACCTGCTATTACATGTCTATAACATCCAGCATAACTGTCTAATAATCGCGTACCTTAGACAAAGACTAACATCTTAGTTCACCGATACAAGTAACGTAAACTCAATTCTGAGAGAAGACACCACCCAATAAATAAACTCAGTCACTGATCCACAGTCCCAGTCGCATTAGCCATCAATATACTTTGTATGTTCATCTTGAACTACCAAAATAATGATTAGGGATTTCTTTCACCTTATTGTGTTATCCTAGACATCAGGTTTCAACAACACATCTCCAGTTTGTCCTGTTCTCTGTGGTACTCTTCAGCTGACCTCACAATTGCACATAAGCTTACATCTCCTACTCACACGACCTCGAACATGTCACTCTCGGACATATGCCCAACTAGTCTTTTCTCATTCGCGTTCCACTCGAGGACCTGGCGAGCGATGTCGCCCGACGGTTTTCTAAGTGTATGTTCGATTGATCTCCATTTTCTTCGGCATATTCGCTGAATAGTAGGTTCTCGAACTAGCTTAGAGGCTCAAAATCTGTGTTCTGATTAAGTTCATCTGTCAGGTAAGTTACATTCACTATCTTCAATGGTGAAATCTTACCATAAAAGTTGAGGGTGAATTACGAATGTTCGGTAGATACATACGGGCTGTAGGATTTAAAATGAACGAATGACATATAAACCTGTCCTGGTCACTAAGGTTTGTGAAAAATGCAGTTGTTGTGGGTCAAACTTGAAGTCAAAGTCTTGGAATATAGTCCCCTTAGACAAATAACTGTTCTGATGTGAATCCTTACGCATTACATCTCTCACACAAATCAATGAAAATTTCATTAATCTAAATATATCAGTGCAGATGCTAAGAGTATTCTGCATCACATGGACTATACAATTAGGAAGAAACTACATCTGACCTGCATTCAGTATGAAACTAATCAATAATCCTACCGATAATGTAGAACGAAAACGTTGAATTGCATTTTTGATTGCTAACTTTGTAAGCCTTCAAATTATCAAGTTAAGTTTTATCTGAAGTGTATAGCCGAAAAGATGTTAAGTGATTATCGATATTACCAAGCCCACTTATTAGTCCACTACGCAACAGCTCTAGTAACTTGCCTTGTAACTAGAAATAGCCTTCATTAATGTGTGCTCCATGTTTAAATTATATGTCGTAGCCAAAGCTGAATGGACAGCAGCATAACAAAAAATAATATTCATTCTTTCAAAGCTAAAGGAATAATGCTCTAAAGAAAATAAAAATAAACATTATAAATAGGATAAATCTACTTGAATAGTTCTTTTGAGATATGTCGCTCCAGCTCCATGTAATGCCTAAGTCTTCTGACGTATTGATCCGCTTTTCAAAATTCCACAAAGCATCATGATACCTGGAGACAGAGACAGTGAAATACAATGATAAAGCCCTATATTTAAATCTTTAATTTACACAAAAGTTGGTGAATTAATTAAATGGGCATATTTTCACTAAAGTAAACTGAAATTTATATGTGTCACCCCAGGCAAGTGTAGTTGGGGTTGTTTTGAAGATACAAATCACAAACATAATTAGACCACATACAACTCTGTTGAAAGCTGAACTACCAGTTTTTACAATAAGTCCTGCTTCATCCGAGCTAATAGACACAAGGAGACCGATTCCGAACATGACGAGGAGAGAAAGCTGATCAAATGCAGACTGGATTAAAGTTTTTGAGATGACTATGACAATTCGTGGGTGACAAAAGTAAGTGGAAGAGGCGTTACCAGTAGGTGACATCAGAAAACTATTTAGACTCATTTGGGAAACGGGTTGTAGAAACCTGAGGTAAACGAAACAATTTCCGAGGACGGTAGTTTAATTACTTTTGAAGATATACCATTAGAACACTGTAGAGAAAATTTTGAGGGGTTGAACACGTTACGCATATCGAGTCATGGGCGATTAGACTAAAACATGGCGCTAATTCATAGTCTTTAAATATTAGTCTGAGTCATGTAGGGAGATGCGCACTGCTCGACTGGAGTCCCCGGGATACTAGGAATCAATGGTTGGAGACTGTTGGTGACACGGCTCAAAACTATTTTCAACGGCACCGATGGATCCACTTTCTGTGATTTTCCAGATGAACTGAATCCTCGCGGTTCTCCATGTAATTATAGTACACTTCAGTTTATTAGAGTTGCTCTGTATTTCTTATCTCTATATTTTATACCTTTGTATGCCCAATATTTACATATATATAAGTAGAAGGAAAGTTTGGTCAGTAAATCCCTTTTCATAAAACCTTCACCGAGCAGTGGCAATAGTTATGACGCAACACCAATGCCAGAGATGTAGAAAATATTATCACCAACAAGTCAAAGGAAGAGAAATAAAGGAACTAGATAAACAAAATCTGAAAGTCATCTGAGCACCTTCGAATGATGAATAATAATTGTGTTCAACACGTGGTGAGCAAACAATGCTGTTTTATCAGATATTATTATTCTATGAAATTGTAATCTAGCACAATGCCCAAACTGTATTCTTATATCAAGAAACATGGTTGTAAAATACTAGTTTAAAAATGAAAATTCTATTTTTACGTTGTTTCAGTGAAAAAGATTGACAGTACTACAATAATTAAATAAGGTTACAGGATCTCCATAGCAAAATTTAGAACAGAACCAAGAAAAAAAACTTTTCAATTAGATGCACTTAAGCTTGACTCTAATATACATAACAAATGAATATGAAGTATGAACTAATCATGGTAATTTGTCAATAGGATGATTAGATTGCTAAAAATTGTGGACTTATTCTTAAGTGATGAACAATAAAGAGGTGTGTGGTGATTAGGATAATAAAAGCAAAGTGGTTATACAAAGATGTTTAAGCAAATGTAGACAATTGCTCACAAAAGCCATAAGACTATGAAATACTAAGCTATTAGAGAAGTAGACGAAACAAGTTTGAATGAAGATGTGGAAAGACTGGGCTAGTGCTGACAAAATTTGATAAGAAGGGAATTGAAAACACAAAATGGTATAGTCAGTTACGTCTTCTGATATTCAACAAAATGCACAATACATGCCAACCAAATGCAAAATATGAAATAGAATCTTCATACAACCAGCGACAGGTTGATAGAAACATACATATATACATACATAATCAAAACCTTTCAGTGTACCATTAACATCGGGCGATAAGTTTCTTGTGCACGTCGAGGAGTGCATGTTTCTCGAAGTTCCCAAAGTTCAACACGAAGTTGTTAAATGGTCTACGATGCCCCTAAAGTTTATTAGTTGGAGAATGCGCAGGAGAGATGCTGTTATGCCGTGGATATTTGGGCGGAATGAGGGAAATGCAAAACTCCATCGCACTCTCCCCTTATACTTCCAAAGAACTCTTTGTCACTGATTTCTCACTTGTTTCACATTTCATGTTTCGTAACAGCGAAACACTTCCCATAATTTTTCTAGGCCTCCCGTATAAACCAAAAAATCCATTTATTCCACTTTTATAACGAACTGCATCCCATATTTAAATATGCAGAATAAAGGATGAAGTTATAGGCATTAAGGTGATGTTCAATGACTGAAATGTCCTAATTTATTGATATATAAACTTATTTATGTAAATACTAACAAACTCTTATTTGAGTGTTATAGTCGTATGTAATGGGATGTACCACTGTTGGAAATAGGTTTTGAGGTGGCTGTATGACTGTATAAGGGGTGTATATAACTTCAGGGGGAAATAAAGGTGAGGGATAGCGGTTAAATAAGGGAGGAATGGGATAACAGCGATCCAATGAGAGCAAAGTAGTGAGGAAATAAAGGCGAAATATGGGAAGACAGTGGTGCAGTATATATCGAAGGCAATCAAGTGAAGGGGTAAAAGATGGGCGGAATTCTGTCAAATAACCCCTATCCACCCATTATTCTACTACTGGCTATGCCCATTTTTTCAACCAATATTCAAAGATTTCTACCAGATTTAATCTGCTTGGGACGAATTCGCCCCATATTTCCTATGGGCATTCACAGACTCGATTGCACAACTGGAAAACTAGGGGGAATTTAGGGGTTGGAGGAAAAACTCATTTCTTTCAAATTTTCACAATGATATGTCCCCAAATATTTCATTTGGGTTGGACATATTTAATCCCGGTAGGAGAATTTTTTCGTACATATGGGTAAAAGTGTAGGCAAGATTTCACTTAAAATTGGGTAAAATGGGGAATTTTTCTTTACCACATGCATAATGTGGGACTTCGATAGTTTGACTTTACCCGCTCCTTTTTTAGGCCAAATTGTCAATGAAAACACCAAAACACGTGAATACAATTTAAAATGCTTGTCCCCTCCTTACTTGACAAGTTGCTCTGATATTTCCACTACAATACATATGTATTAAGATTATAATTATGAACACCGAAAGTGAAATTATACCAAGTGTTAGTGATGACAGTCGCACTAGAAATAGTTTAATCCATTAACTATTCTTCTATACTGTTTGGAAAGAAAAAGTAACATGTCATCGATCAACAGTGTACAGAATAATTAAAAGACTGATGTTTGGTAATGTTACAACAATAAAGGACCCTATTTCCACAAATAATATTGCTGAATGTCCCATGGATCTTGTTCTTCCTAGTAACATTGACATGCTGTCCCAGCCAGCATCGACTTCGAGAGCACTGCAGAACTCTGGGGCATACTTCGGCAGTTCTGCAGAAACTTTGAGGCAGACTGCAGATAACTGTCTCACCTTCTGCAATGCACCCGAAGATTCTGCCATGGAATTTCTGCAGTGTCCCCGAAGAAAATGCCAGCTGGATGTGGAGTGTGACGAAAACGCTTGCAATGAAGTAAGTGAAATAAACCTGAAGGTTTCACCCTTCACTCTCCTTACTTAGTTTTGGCGAAAAATGGAACATTAGGGACAGTTAATTTTTAAAACAGACACAGTAGAAATTGGCTTGTAATTGAAGGAAAAAGTAAGTAATTCATTCTCTAAAAGCACGACTAAAATGGGACAATTGGGTAGTGAAACTGCAGAGAATCGGCAGTTTATTTGGTATTTTGCCTGCTTTTTTTGCACATATCACAACCAATCGAAATTGCATACGCAGAGGGATAATGACTCTCAAGATGGTTATGCACTCGGATGCAACCACTTTATATGAGGAAGTCTGTAGGAGTTGGTAAATCGTAAATAATGGTGATTTTTTAGACACTTTCTTCTCGAAATTGAAACTCCCTTAATATATTGCGTATATGCGACCAGTATCTGCTACAGCTGCAGAAATGGAGAATAGATTGGTTTGATATGTCTATAGCCATTTGTGCGAGAAACTAGAGCCAGTTTTCGCAGCATATTGAAGATATAGACCCTGTGTGGTCCATTCATATTGCATATATATCATAGGTACACATTTTTAAAAATCAAGTACTACTTTTAACCGAGAATCTGACTGGCTGTTCTAAGGTCGTCTGAAGTAGGTGTCTCTTTCTTACTGTCACCAGTAAGGATTACGGTTAGAGAACAGTGTCAGAAATACCAATAGATCTCAAAGTACCATGACGTACAGTCCATGGATGGATGTATCTACGATTTCTGCATAGATCATCTGTGTAGTGACTTGGAGACATTACTACAACACGTGAGCGACAACTATGTAGTGTAATGTCAAATTTTTAATGTTTCTTAGTGTATTTTTAACGATTATTAAGCATTTTTGCATCTGAATTTTGATCGGTCGTTCAATTGAAGTGACTTTGAAGTCACTGTCGTTTTGGTTATGATAGTTCAACTTCGCTATCAACTCGAATCAAGTTAAACATGTAAATGTTTGGCACTTACATTGCAAGGGACTCAATCCGTTCGGTTAAGTGGCAGTCCAGAACAAAACAAGCCTTGCTGCGTAAAACATTCAGTCTTTCTAGAGGATTGATACACTCTCTTGCAACAGATTGTCCGAATTTCGCAGAAATAAATTTTTCTAGTGGTACAGTCACGTCGACTTCTGAGGTGGATATCGTGGGAACACACAAAAACGTCATCGAAAACAACCAAAGCAGATGACTCAAAACCTCAGTCCAAATAACCTTCACATGACCTTGAGAAGGTTCAGAAAATATTCAATGCTCTCAGTTGACCAATCTGAAAACTTATGATTTCTTCCAGCTCGCCTCGTGATTTTCGGATAAATCTGAACCCTTAATCGATCTTGGTCGTGTTTATTTCACTGTTTGTTTTAAATTAGCGGTCCTGGTAAATAGAGATTCATAGATTAAGTTTCCAGAGTTGGTCGGCATTTCAGTCCAATGATAGTTCTTCTTGTCCTCATTCATATGTTTTGTGAGATGTTTACATCTGTTTCAAGAGTGGTGAAGAAGTGGTGCTATATTCTTTTCAATACGACCGCGCATATATTCTGTAAAGTAACAAGAAATGTTTAGACGTATGTGTACCTAGTTGTCTCACTACGAAGTGATAATGTATTTATTCTTATCTGTGCAGGAACACCAAGTGCACAGGTATAGATAAGTATTATTCAAATTACATAAATTTAGCTCGTGGTAAATTTACCTGGTTGTTATTCTTTTCGACTTTAGTCATTTAGAACAACCTAATGTGCGTCCGTGGCACAGCGATTAGGACTCTCACCGACCATGCACATGGTCCGAGGTTCGATCCCCCGCCGACGCACACCTGATATCTATGATCGGCCCGCTAAATTTGGGCTACCGATATCACATGCTGAAAATTTCATATATGTACCAAAATACTGTGTGAAATCAAGCTATAACAAAAAAAGTTAGTGAATGTGGCACATTAATAATTATGGAAATATTGTCTTCGCGTCAACAATAAATCTAGGTCTCTGTTGGATGGATAACAGGTACCTGGGAGAAGAACAAAACTTGAAGTCAGTTCTCCAACATAACTTTGATGTGTATGGTATTTTGGAGGCCGACGTTCGCGAATTGTACGGAGTATACTAACGTAAGATCTTATACCAACAACTTCCATAGCGTTCGCTCTTCGTGTACCAAAGACAAAGCAAAAGACTCGATTTAGTCGTTCAAAGTACGTGACATATTTCGGGACCAAATCGTGAAGCGTATTGAGTGCTTAGCTAGCTAATGGTCGTGCACGCACGTGACACGACAGAGTACCAAATCGCAAGGATGCTTGACCGGAAGCCCTCAGCTAAACAAGTCGACTTAAACAGTGAGGGTCAGCATCCGGTGTTCAGTGATGATTGCTGTGGTCAATAATTTTGGGGAATTATTTACCGCTACACCTCTCTCCCCCTAGTGGGATTGTGAGGACCCCAAGACAGAACCAGCCGGAAGTAAAAACTGAATGGTTCCCTAAGGGTGGAGAAAACTCTTCCGAGCGGCTTGGTGGAGTGCCTACTGGTCTGTCTGCCCATGCTAATGGGTGTTTGTACATGACTTCCTTGGTGTTGTTCGTTGGATCCCGTGCTTCGTTTGTTTCTTGTCCAGTGCCCGTCGCACCTGGAAAAGAAAACAAGAATGCTAAGAGCCTTGTTGAGGAAAATGTACCAAATGAGCGTTTTTTAAAAAAGACTTGCATCTACGATACAGTAAAGTTTATAACATCGAAAAAATACACATCTTATTTAATTTATTTTAGTGCATGTATAATATACGGTTGTAGGAAAAAGGAACCTTTTACTTGTGTTTAGTGATGCTACATAAAAAGTTGATGTGTCTGAAAAGAAGAAACAATAATTAATACCACAAACGAATGAGTTGAGTAAATCGCACCACTCAGTTATGTGATATAGGTGTGAAGGTATTCTGGGAATCCTACGTTACGTCCAGAACGCGTTTTCTTAGAGGGTTAGACCGAAGGTTCGGGGGCTTTCACCGTGCTAGGGAGTTCTTCTAGGACTAAAGGATATTCAATTACTTGTGGATTATCGGGTACGTTTAGCTCTAGGCTAATAGGATTACCTTCCAAGTAAGCTGGTTTCAAACGGTCAATGCTGATGGTGTCTTCGCGGCCTTTTTTGTCTAAGACGAAGAATTTATCCGTACGTTCGATTACTTTGTATGGTCCGTCATACGGGGGTTCTAGAGGGCGGCGCACAGAGTTACGACGAACAAATACGTGTGAAGAAGTTTTTAAGCAGGGATGAAGAAAGACATCAATGGACTGTGGTCGGAGGGGAGCAGGTTTAACTGAACGCATAGCGTTTGTAAGCCTGCTGACGTATGAGGAGTGATCTACCACTGGTGGGAAGCTCGAGGGAGAAACAAACTCACCTGGCAGTCGTAGTGTTGTGCCATATACTAGCTCAGAGGTAGTACAACCAGCATCGGTTTTTAAGGCGTCTCGTATCCCTAGGAGAACTAACGGAAGGGATTCAGTCCAATGGATGTTATTTGCAGCTGATAAACCAGCTTTCAACTGTTTGTGTAGACGTCCTACCATACCATTAGCTTGAGGATGGTAGGTTGTTGTTCGAAAACGCATGCAACCAAGGATTTTGGTCGAAGCGAAGAATAAGCCGCTTTCGAATTGCCGCCCACGATAAGTTGTTATGGAAGATGAGCATCCAAAGTTTGCGATCCATCCTTCTACAAAGACGTGTTCGACGGTGTCAGCAGATACATCCTTGATGGGTACTGCTTCAGGCCATCGTGTGAAGCGATTGATGCAGGTTAACATATAGGTATATCCATGAGATTCTGGAAGGGAGCCAACTAAATCTATATGGACGTCTTAGAAACGAGCATCGGGGATGAGAAAGGTGCCAAGGGGGCTTTTGGTGTGTCTTATTACTTTGCACTTTTGGCCCGCTAAGCACGTGTGTGCCCATTCCCTTACTTCCTTGTTAATACCAGGCCAACAAAACCTACTAGTTACGAGTTTGACGGTAGTTCGAATACCTGGGTGTTATAAGCCATGCAACGTATTGAAGACGCCACGGAGATAACTCTTAGGCTCAATAGGGCGAGGAGTACTAGTGGAAATGTCACAGAAAATAGTACCTTTTCCTATACCTAAGGGTTTCTTGGCTAATTGTAGAGTTGTTTTCGACAACTCATGCTGAAGCTCGGTATCTTGTTTTTGAAGACGAGCCAGTTTTACAAGGTCTATGCCGTCGATTTGGGTGAAGGAACAAATAGGTGACAAGGCATCTGCCACAGTGTTGTTCACTCCGGAAACATGGCAAATATCCGATGTAAACTGTGGAACGTAGTCCAGTTGTCGTGATTCCCTGGGTGAATACTCATCTGAGGTTGAGTTCAGAGAGTACGTCAGAGGCTTGTGGTCAGTGCCTAAATCCGAAGTTATCCAGTATCACAAACTGGAAGAAAGAATATTTGCAAGGTTATAAGTTGTATGTAGAATCAATCCCTACAGCTGATTATACTAGTGTATCTGGTCATAAGTCGTAAAACACTCGCCAGTTTTTTTTCGGATGTATTTGTCCGAATGCCACTACATCTGCTTCCACTGAATTTAACTTACTGACAGACCTCATTACGACTCGACATTTCGAAAAGTGATACAGGTTAAATTCAGTCATATAAATTAAGCATTTGCATAATTAACATGCATGACTTAAGTATTCAACAAATTCAGTCATCATAGTTTATACTTCTTTGGATATCTGGAGCACATTAATGGTGCAGAAAATATCATAAATTTTACGCCTACATAATATTATTAACTGCCAGTAATTGTGCCATCGAATCATACCACAAGAATACAATTAACAATACTTTGTTAGTGTTCTGAGGGACAAAATATTGGAGAGGAACATACATGCTAGGTGAAAGTTCCACAAAGTTGACTCACTACTCTACAATGCCTCATTCACCGAATTTTCCTCTACATGTGAACGCAGCCACATACTGGTATGTGAGAAAGGTTGTCACTGTCAGCAATATATAAGTTCCTCGCCTTTTGAGAGTCTTCTAAACGCCCGCAGCTTCTTACATATGTGCTGCTTCCGCTCGCACTGATTTCCTGTGACGAAATTCTAGAGAAAGGGCTCGTTACCGAAGCATATTATCGCCACGGCTTGTCACAGTTAATTCATAAGAAATACAGGATATCAGACTATGTGATTAAAAATATCGACGTAGAAAATACTGTACGTATAACCACAACTCAAGAAATGCGTTGGGACCCACGGGATCGTAGTCACTATTAACCACCATAATGGCTAACCAGTTTCTAGGGAGTTTCTCACGAAAAGAACATTGCATCCCTATAAAAAACAGTGGAACGACGTAAGAATAGTCAAAAGTTACATTTATAGTCATCATAGTTGCTTGCAAACCACACATAACACAACCACAAAAAGCAGCACACGATAGCACCTACCTAGGGGCAGCCTGTTGGCAGCCTGTCGACGGCCGTTATTCCGTATGCCCACGAGTGAGATAAACAAGTGATTTACTCACTTGTGATTGGCCAGTTTGTCATTCAAGCTGCGGTAATTTCAAACATCATTTAACTGCTTGGTTAATTTCGCGACTTCCAGGAGCGTTTTATCAACTCGGATGCATAAATGACAGCACATACTATTACAGCTCATGATAGATTTGATACACCAGAGGATTTATTTGCTGAATTCAATGAATTCATCCTATATGAAGATCTAAGGACTTCACAGGAGTGTCAAGAATGCAAGCAATTTCCCGAAGAGGTGATAACCTAGTGCAACTTCAATTACCGCTTGACCATTATTTTCAGAGATCCTTAAATTAGTATACAATACACAACAGTCTGGTTAATCATAATGAAAGCGGCGTAGTTGGTGCAGCATATAAGTATATATATGTATATATACTTATATACATCAGTATTGCCATAATACAGTTAAAGTAAGTAAAAACCTGCTTCATAAGATTAAGTGATACATTTAATTGATAAGATTGTACTATTATTGGTTGTCTATCCAAGCTAATGATGAATTCGTTGCAATAATAATACCTATTAGTGTTTTTATAGTCACTATATGAACATGAACGTTATTATTATTAATGCTGTCAAAACTGTTACTATTTTTCATAGAGCCGTTGTCATTTTTGTTAAAATCTTTGTTCAAGCTTTGGAAACTATTGCATAACTTGTCGTTAAATAGTTTTTCATTTCATGATGCTTTGATGGACCTACTACATATCGACCGACGATAAAGTGCGAAATCCCTTGAGTTTAGTGAAAACTATTTAGCTA